AGTTGATCCCAAAAATATCTCAGTAGTAGAGTGGGAAGAAGGAGTAAAACGTGCTGTTGATGTTCGGCCACAACGATACGGCCCTGCCAGCGACCCCTCATCTATTTGGCATTTTGCTGACAGTGACGGGGTGGAAATTAAACCCACCGACACCGAAGGAACGCTGCTGAGCTGCTTGCCTAGCCTCACAGACTTGTCGTTCGTATCAGGAGAAGGTGGAATGCTGAAACAGGTCCAGGCCTACAATAGTGGAGAGCTATCAGCTACCCACTCCAAGGGCAAACTCAAGATTACTGCTCGCGCAGTCCCTGGGTTTGACAACAGGTACGAACTCACAAACCTAACTCGAGTCACCTACAACGCTCCCAAACACTTTCTGCTGGCAATGACTCTTGCAACATGTAGCATCTTTAATTCAGGCTCTATCAACGCCACTGCATCACTGAAAGGTGACTGCAAACTGACTAGGACCAGGACCATGCCCAGACATATTATCCACTATGAGAATGCACACAGGAAAACAGAGATCAATAACGCACTATCGGTAGATCAATACCTGGACTCCGGTGGTACTCGCAGTCAACTTCTGTACGAGATAAATAATAAATCACTTACAGCATGCTCGCCACAACTTCCTCCCGACTGGCTGGAGAAATTGTCGAATAAGGAAGCCGAACTCGATTCTTCATTCCTCACCTCCCAACTCCTTGGGACTGACGCTGCCTTCCAGGAAGCCAATTCAATCATAGACACTGCCTGTGCTGCCCATACTCTCTGGGGAACCTCCAACGTGGGACTTTATCACACCATCCAACAATACCCAACCGTTCTGTGTCGTTCTGGAGATTCGCTTGAACATCTCTGTTGCAACTATTTCACTGCCAAACAAGATGATCTAACTGAAAATGTGCTGCACTACTGTCAAGACAAGTTCTGCCATATAGACGTAGCACTCCAAGTTGTTGTGGAGAAGGATCAACCTTCCCCATCTAATCCGTACGTGCTGCTTCCTGAGGACCTCATATATGACGCCGAGAGAATTGCTGAGTTAAGCTCCTCAGATGGACTTGAATACAAACAGGAATTTCTCAAGGCCATTATCAAGGAGTTCAGTGACTTATGCAAGAACGATTGTTTTAGCTTGGAAGTAATACCAGAGGAGCGATCTCCCCTGAGCACTCGTATAGTACTCAAGGTCAAGAGAAAAGGCGATGGTTCCTTTGACAAATTCAAGGCTAGGTGCGTGGTGCGCGGCTTCCTCGCCAAGATAGGACTTGATTTTTACGCCACGTACAGCCCCTCCTCTTCTCTAACTACATCTCGTACACTCATGGCACTGGCTGTTCACCACAACCTACCTATTCACCATAGCGACATAGCACAGGCCTTTATCCAAACCAAACTTGATAGACCAATTTTCATCTCCTTTCCTAAAGGTGTAGACATTAGGTCTGACTTGCTAGAAAGCATACAGGACAAGTTTCCAGACTCCAAACTGGGAATCCGATTGCTCAGATCCCTGTATGGCCTTAAGCAGGCACCTATGTTATGGAATAAACTTTTGAACTCAGTTCTACTAGAAGCTGGCTTCATTCGCAGCAAGAATGATACCAGTCTCTA